GGGAAGCTAGGTTTCTCTTTCCTGGTTTATAATCGAAACACTGATGGTGGTCAAGGCATTTCTTTGGGACTGATCTATATGGCTCGGTGATGATATGGGTCACAAATTGCCCCCGGCCAAGCGTTACTCTCCTGGAAATGCTTTGTGCCGTAGTATACGTCACTGTCCTAAGCAATGAGCTCATTTCTGTAGGTTGTGCTCTGTGCGTGTGCAATGCAGTATGTGTCTTTCAAAGCTGAGTGCAAAACATCTGATTCACTGTATCCAAATTTGTCAGGGAATGAGGTCCAGTTATGCAAATACAAAGTAGCTTTTATCTTCTGTCTGGTTATTTGCTTAGGAAGTACTGAATTACTGTTGTAACTCTGAATAATTTGTTGTTATCAATATAGCCACATCATGCACTGTGCTGTAATTGCTAGTAAGAAGATAGAGCCTGCGTATCGAGAGGGAGACTAACGGAGAGCAATATGCTTATCAAAATAAGTTGCAATACTGAGATTCTCTAAAAACAACTGTTGGTCTCCATATTACATTTTTAGTATTGCTCTACTGTCCTTTTCTGACAGATTCAGTGCAACTGCTTTATTAGTTCAGTACTGGTCTCAGGAATTGCCCTTACCTTTATGTCCAGCTGTGTCCTCGAGGCCATCTCACAGTCATGCGTTTTGACCGTGGTAGTGTAGTATTCCTACTGTAGTAATAACCTCTGAACCAGCGTCAATCATCTTTGCTTGTACAACGGATATCCCAAAGGGGATTAATGGCAACTGATTTCCTGCTTAGTGGCCTATAGGCAAGTCATGTATAAACAAGATCTTTCAAGCTGCCGTTCTGTGCAGAGTGCTTGAAGCACTAACGTGGATCTATGGGTGCAGTTCAAGTGCTCAGTACTTGACTCAGCACTGAATTTTGCTGCCTCCCCTATGCTTGTTTAGCATAACTTGTCAAGGATTCAGGAAGCCGTTAGTATTATGCTGTCACCGAAGGCATGCTCACGGCACAGTCTCATACTTTGCATATGATGTGTTTTAAACGCTGCACAATCCAGGCTGGCTTTTCCTATAATTTCTCTTGATTTTTGTGCAGCATGCATGACTGTAACACATAGCAGGCAGTTACAGAGCACGACATCCTTGCTGCAGCATCTGTGAGAGACTGATATGAATTCCAGTGCATGTGACTCATCCATCAGCTTAGTGCAGCTGAGGCTCCTCTTTAATTTCTAGCTCTCCGTTCTACGAGAGCCACTTACTGACAGAAGAATTCCTGTGATATATTAAACACTTTCATTGAAACACTGGTTCACTGATAGCATGCAGATTCTCTATGGTGTATTTTGTTCCTCTCACACTTGATAATTATTGTCTTGTTACATCATGCTTCTCAGTGAAGGTTTACTCAGATAATTAATTCTAATGATAGTAAATTAAAAATGTACATAAATTATGTTAGCACCTAGTACACGTTGCTTTGAACTAATACATCAAAAGGTCCTTCAGTGTATGTCTGACAAACTCAAAATATGTAGCTCTGTAATTGCATACATAGCTCTTGGCAATTATGCTGCTTATAGGCAAGGAACGTATAGCATATTTGATGCCAAATACATGTTTTTAAGATGTAAAGTCAAGGCGAGGAGTATTATCTAGTTGTTAGTTCGGTACCTCATAGAACATTTCTATTTCTATTACTTCTAAAGAGATATGGCCGAGTAGGTGCTTAATTTCATCTAGCAGGAATCTAGGAAGACTGATTTACTTTTTTCATAGCATTTCTTAGCCACAACTGTACGCTGACTTTCACTGTCAAATTGCTAAACATTAACCCAAATACTTACTTTGCAGGAGGCCCAGAAGATCAATGGTGGTGGAGATACACAGGCAGATGGGACCTGCAAACCGACAGATGAAAAAGAGGAGAATGTGGCAGCAGAAGTGGGATGGATGACCTCCGTGAAGGATTGGGCAGGAGTCATGATATCTGCCCAGACATTAACTGGCAGAGTACTTGTAAGTTTTCTATGATTTTCTATGTTCTTAGTTTAAAGAACATTTTTTAACAAACACTGTGTCCCAGCATTAGTGGAGGATTTTTGATTGGTTTGTCGCATCAGCGCTGAGTCAATCCCAATTTTCTCTTTTGGAAGTAAAATAGCAGACTAATTCCCGCTGCAAGAGAGAAGCAGAGACAGCAAGTAAGAAAAACTGACTTCCAGCCCACCCCCCAGCCTATTTCAGTATTCTGGCACCGTGATTTTGAACTGTGCTACAAACATTGAGTTCAGTAATTTCATATTATGTGGTGAAACTATAGGCCTATTTTGTCTGGAAGTAAAATTGTGCTAGCAAAAATGGAAGCCAACTTGGAAAATAAGCACAGTGTTACAAATGTAGATAGCGGTCAGAACTGTAAAGCAAAGACAAGTTTGAATTGGCCATGCAATGGGATTTGTGATACTTTCAATAGACTAGTAATGAATTTATGGTCTCTTGATCTTTTTCTTTATTAACTTAGGAAAAGCTTCGAACATGCAAACAGTTATGTATCAAATAAAGCCACAAATCAGATACTGATAATAGGTGGTTTAAAGTTCCAAGTTCCAACCTTTATAGTTTTCACTTTATTTGAATATAATTATTTTATAGCCTTGTCAAATCATACTTAATTGCCAAGGGTTTTCTGTGGAGTTCACTGCAGTAAAAGGAGTCTCCTGTGTGGTTTTGATTAGTTTCCTTGTTAGAATGCGTGTACGTATAAACTAGCAGCTAAAGTGATTTAAATCCCATTTAAAACTTTTGAGAATCCCAGTGAGACTTTGGAACTAGTTTGGATTAAACTGAAGACAGAATTTGCGTCCTTGATTGTTTACTTTGGTTAAGAGATATTTTACTGTGAGTCAGTTCTGGTCTACAGAGTAATTATTTGGGCAGGGGGAGGGAAGGGAAGGCAAAGAAAAGAAATTGCACTTCCCAATCAAGTCTTTTACAGTGAAAAGTTGAGGTGGCTCAATTGCTACTGTCTTGTTTAGTTCTGCAGTAATATTATTTTGATTATTTTTTCCTAAAAATACCTTCTGCCCATTTGCTTATGTTAAATGCTGACTTTTATCAACAGCTTGAAAGCATGTTCCACTGCTGCTTATAGCACCACGTCTTCTACGTGAAAGTGACATGTTGATCGTCTTATGAAAAGCGGCATATTGATTTTCTACGTGTTTCCTGACATCTTCAGCATTAAAAGTGACAAATCTTAGAGCCCTGCTTCTTGTTCCACTTTAAGCATCAAGACTAGAAATCACCCAAAACCAGAGTCATATACTACTAGCTATGCAAGTCAGAAATTGGCCTGTGTTGTTTTTACTGAGGTGTATGTGAGCACAAATACAAATGAACAATCAAGCCCAAAACCTAAAACATGAAACACATGTTACTATGTATTTTTATTCAAGATACTGGGAGAACTTATTCAATTCCATTTGATGACTTTGTTTATTTCTTTGGGGGTATTTTTTTGTACTCGCAGTTTACCATTGCATCTTACAAGGGACTAGTTTATTTCCAGAGTTTTTTGTAGACAGCTGGCCAACATCATTGGGTCAGGTTATTTCTGAGAGTATGTTTATATTCTTGTCAAGGTATAACAGCAGGTATTGCACACATTTGCGCTCATCAATATGACTAACCGTCGGAGAAATAAGTAGTGATGTATGAAGTCTGTTAGTTAATTTTGTTTAGTTTAGAAAACAAGTTGCATTTATTTTAATATAGCACTCATCAGTTTCAGGATTTGAATTGATAGGATGTAATTTCCGGAGGACCATTTCCAGTATGAACATTGACTGTTCATTTAGATTTTACTTTATGGTTATGTTTGCTAAAGGCTGACTGCTTCAAAGAACATTTGTGCTAGAGAGAATATTCACGTTATTTCTACATACAGAATGTAGATAAGTCAAGTCAATATTTTTATCAAATCAGTTTCAGGATTTGAATTGATAGGATGTAATTTCCGGAGGACCATTTCCAGTATGAACATTGACTGTTCATTTAGATTTTACTTTATGGTTATGTTTGCTAAAGGCTGACTGCTTCAAAGAACATTTGTGCTAGAGAGAATATTCACGTTATTTCTACATACAGAATGTAGATAAGTCAAGTCAATATTTTTATCAAAGTATATTGTTTGAAAATATTATGACTTACTCATGAATTCCTACTAACTTAACACAGCCTGTTCCTGCCAGCTATTATATTTCTGAATCAAAGTGTGGAATTTATTTTTTTTTTTCCCCTAAAGAAGAAAGAACTGGTGGCTTTACAGTGCTATGAAATCAAAATTGTATGAGATACCTGCAGCTAAAGAAATTATAGTACATTTTTTCACTGTGAGAGTTTAAATTAAAATCATTCTCACACATCCAATGTTTACAAAAAAAGTTTTTAAAAGTCATCCACTGAAAATAGACTTGGGAAAAGAGTTATAATTGACCTTCAGTTCAGCCTGATTACCTGAAGGCTGTTGTGTAACTGCTGCCTGGGTTTATTTGACAAGTGAAGCAGACAAATTAGCAAAGTGTTGAACACACATCAGTGTAAAGTAGAATTTTATTTGTGTTTTCTGCTCATGGAAAAAACTCTTACCATTTTTCTTACCTAGATAGTAATTTTCTCCAAAGTGAATCTTAGTGGAATGTCAAGTGCTGTTTGTGGAACCAAAACTTAATATTTTTTAGACCTGCCTCTACTGGAGTCTGTCACCGTACCTTTGATATGTCTGGTCTAGCTTTTATTTCTTCCCCAGTAACCTTACAAAACAACTTCCTAATTTATCAGATCAGTTTGTCCAGGTGCTTTGTGAGTGTTGGAACAAATATTTATATAGTGGCTGCTCCTATAATCACCTCTTTAATATTTAAACTTCATGGCTACCCACAGGTGAAGAAAAGAAAGGCCAACGGTATGGAAAATGCAGGACAAAATTTATTTTTAAAGGTCACAGCTCCACATCTGTGCAGTTGTAGTACAAAATTGGATGTTTACATCAACATAGGACAATTTGCCCTATTCTCTTGTGAAATCAAATGTTTCTGTTTAGGCAACAGATGCAAATCAGTAGGCAACCTTTAAAATACAGACTAGAAGGCCTTCTTCAACATTGTAGCTGTAGAACTAGTTGAAAACTTAACAACTTTTTTTTGTTTGTTTGTTTTTTAATTTGACACTTACTTGGGGAAGAAACCATTTTCCAAATCATGTGTTTCAGTGCATCTACTGGAAAGCAAGGGATGTTGCTTGTTATTCATGATCTGGGTCATTGGAGACAGTTAGTGAAATGATTTAATCCATTCCTGACAAACACAGTAGCTCTGAAATCTTTGCAAGAGATGATTCCCCTCCAGACTAGTTTTCTTACAAACATTTAATTCATTGGTGCTTGTAGGGGAGGGAAGAGTTCTGTAACTGAAATAAAAGCAAAAAAAAAACCAACCCACAAACCAAAAAATCGTATTCTTAGCCTCCTCCCCTCCCATTCCATTGATAAGAGGAAGAGTTACATTTAAAGACTAAACAAAGAGAGGAGAAATTAACACCTTCTCAAACCTTGAAATATTTTGCTTTTGACATCAATTAAATGTTCTGTTTCAAATAAAAAATATATCAACCTTTTCAAGTATCTGAAACTTTTTGTAAAATCTGTTTGTGATGGATGTCTGGGCCTGCCAGCAACGTTTGCTGTGAGTTGTGGAAAAAAAACCCAACAGGCTTGTCTTTTAAATTTTGGCAGTATTTTTTACATCTACATGTTAGAGCTAACTAGGTGAAACCAAAGATATGGGTATTGTGCAAATTAATCTCTGTATACAGAAAAACTTTCACCCATTCTCTGTGGAAGTGATTTTGAACACTTGGCAGAATTAATTGTCTCCCTGGCACAAAAGCTTCTCATACTGGTGCTCTTACATAAAACTCAGTATTGTTTGCACCTGCTCTTTCTCACTTTTTTGGAGCACAGAAGAATCGGTGCTGCCAGTTTCATGCGTTGCTCCACAGAAGCGGTCAATTATGTCTGTTTTTTCAATACGAAATGCTTGCCGTGTGTCATTTTTTAGTATGCTACTCCCTCATCACGTGAGTATCTAAGAGCAGGTATACTGGAAAGGATAGTGTCTCAAATATATCCTGTTAATATCTCCACTTGTATCCTTAGCTCTTGGTTACATGAGGTAGGAGTTGCCCCTGTTACCTGCTCCTCAGAGTGCTTTTGTATTAATTCCGACAGAGAACCATTAGGAAACAGATTTCTGTTCTTTCAGTCTCTAGGAGTAGTTTTCATTTTGTTAAAAAGATATTTTTTTATTTGGGGGGGGGGGGGGCAACATGAGAAACAAGAATGGGCTTCCTACTTCCTAAATAAACCATGAAATTTCCGAAACATTTGACCATAACTTGTTCTATCATTATGTCAACTTAGTGTCTCATAGCATGCAATTCTTGTCTGTTAATGACAGCGAGATTAGACGGAATAGACGTAGAAGTGGCACGTACATGGGATTGTGCCAATATTGCAGTTGATTCAGTAGTTTATGTGAATATTGTGGAGATGAAGTACGGAAATAGAACTAGACATTCTTACTCCTTTAGGAGCTAAATTCTGCACTTGACATTTCACAAGTGGTTTGTGCACAAAGGAATATTCACACTACCCCGTTTCATCTGAAGGGCAGGCTTTGGAGGAAGACATTTATACAGGGTGATCCAGAACGTCCTTCAGTTAAACCCTTTTTGTTTTCTGAAGTAGTGCAGAAAAGTGAGCTGGCTAGGCATGGTGCCTACGGTTGTATAGTCAGAATATCCTTTTCTGCTCACTCCTTCCATTAAGGCTGGAACTTAACGTTCTTGGTGGCACAACCTTTGAAAATGTGACTTTTGCTCTTAAATACTGTAGATGAGAATTCTACATACTGTTTAAAAAGGTGTCCATATTAAATTGCATAAGCACATGATTTCAG